CAGAGGTCGAAAATACTACCCTGAGAAGATCGACCCCTATCCACAAACCTGTCCAACGCTTTCAAGACGGATTCTATTTGAACGTTGTTTATCTACCCATTATTACCATTACTTTTTCCTCCCTCCTGCAATTACTGTCCGCGGTAGGGTGGAGAAATGCCGCGCATGCTGCCCGGGCTGTCAGGACATCATGCCACAGGCGAATTACAAGCGAACAGTCAAGGTCTTATACCCCTGTTCACACCTTCCTTGTGCTAATTGGCCATTCTTCAGCCTGTAAAATTCCCCCCTGCCGTATACCCAGCCGTTTCTACAAGTCCTCTCACTCGTGCTGTCTCTCGTACTCAGCACACGTCCTGTTTACAACTAACATTTGCAGCGTATCCTGCCCGGGCCGTCAGGACATCATGCCACAAACGCGTGACAAACGAACGATCAAGGTCATGGCCCCCTGTTCACACCGTCTTTGTGCTGATTGGCCACCCATCAGCCTATGACAGTCCCCCTTGCCATATACCCGGCCGTTTCCACAAGCCTCCTCACTTGTGCTGTCTATCGTACTCAGTACACGTCCTATAGCCTTCTGTTTTGCATACATAACATTGGCGACGCAGCCTAACAAACATGTCTTCATTGCTGCCTACACCGCTACCTTTTTGGCCAAAGAACATTCCGAAGCCCTCAAATGACTCGTGGTTGCAATGATGGAAGACATTTGAGGATTATATTGAACTACTCCCGATTTTGTCACCCACGATTGTACTAGACGTCCCATCTAAGTTGAAACTCCTCCGGACGAATCTCGGAGAGTTCGGACAACGATATTTCGATGCCCTCAATCTACAAAAGGCTACAGATCTCCAAACAGCCTTCTGAAAACTCGAGTCAGCGTGGGGAGGAAAGGACAACGTCTTTCTCAGTCGCTATCGGTTTTGTCAAATGCGTCAAGAATCCAATCAATTTGTCAGTGATTTTATTACTAATCTGACTCTGGCCATTCAGGACTGTGGGTATAAAGAGATCAAGACAGACAACTTCGAGCACGCAATGCTCGTTCAGCGGTTGATCGTCGGTCTGCGCGATGAAAAAGCTCGGGAAAATCTCTTATCAGAGAAGAAGGACTTGTCATGGGAGAAAGCCTGTGGTATTGCCAGTCATCAGGAGCGCGTGCGGCAAAACCTTCAGCAGCTGAACCAGTCAAACGATGGAGTGATAACATCCTTGGAATCGGAAATGGCTGTCTCCCTGTTCAACACTGCTGTGTCTTCACCTAGACAGCGACCCTCAGCTCCCTCAAAACAACTACCATCATGCTACCGTCGTGGCCAGCATCATATCCGGTGGTCAGACTGTAGACACCAGAAGACGGTATGCCAGTTTTGCAAGAAAGTCGGCCACATCGAACGAGTGTGTTTCTCCAAAAGACGAGCGAATAGTAACACGCATGCGACCTACCCTAGTCCAGCTGGGGATGGTGAGGCGATACTCCGAATGTTTCCGGCCAACGCTACTCTCCAATCGCCCTACACCATCACGCTTCCGGTTGATCACCATCCCGTGAAGTTTGAAATCGACACTGGCTCAGCTGTTACTCTCATCAATGAGGCCTCTCTTCAGAAAGTACCCTCCCTCCTACCGGCTAGCTCAACATTCCGTAGTTACACTGGACAGAACGTAGACGTTCGAGGGGTCTTTACAGCCGAAGTCGAACATGATGG